TGTGTGTGTGTGTAGTGAGTGTGTGTGTGTGTGTGAGTGTGAGTGTGTGTGTGTGTGAGTGAGTGAGCGAGCGCGAGTGAGCGTGTGTGTGTGTGAGAGAGAGAGATGTGTGTGTGTGTGTGTGTGTGTAGTGAGTGTGTGTGTGTGTGTGAGTGTGAGTGTGTGTGTGTGTGAGTGAGTGAGCGAGCGCGAGTGAGCGTGTGTGTGTGTGAGAGAGAGAGATGTGTGTGTGTGTGTGTGTGTGTAGTGAGTGTGTGTGTGTGTGTGAGTGTGAGTGTGTGTGTGTGTGAGTGAGTGAGCGAGCGCGAGTGAGCGTGTGTGTGTGTGAGAGAGAGAGATGTGTGTGTGTGTGTGTGTGTGTAGTGAGTGTGTGTGTGTGTGTGAGAGAGTGAGTGATGTGTGTGTGTGTGTGAGTGAGCGAGCGCAAGTGAGCGTGAGTGTGTGTGTGTGAGCGAGCGCAAGTGAGCGTGTGTGTGGGTGAGAGAGAGTGAGTGATGTGTGTGTGTGAGTGAGCGAGCGCAAGTGAGCGTGTGTGTGTGTGAGAGAGTGGGTGATGTGTGTGTGTGTGAGACAGTGAGTGAGTGGTGTGTGTGTGTGTGTGTGTGAGTGAGTGAGTGTGCGTGTGAGTGTGAGTGTGAGTGTGCGTGTGCGTGTGCGTGTGCATCAATAAAAGCAGCGCATTAATATAGAACGGTGATTAAACCGACTTGGAACTACCTGTGCATTAAACGGTTTTACTGCATACCTGCCAGCCAATCAGAATCCAGTATTCAGGTAGATCATGGTATAAATAATAATAATAAAGAGTTAGTTGAGTTCCAGATCAATCAGCTATGATCCCGGGTGAGAATCTACCTGTCGTGTTCTCGGCTGCGTCTGCGGTGTGTTCCTCCTCTGGACCTGCTGGGAGAAGCACAAGGTCAGTGTCCTGATCCACAGCAGTGAAGATGCTGAGACGCTCACTCGCTCACTCTCTAGGGCTCTGGGATCGTCTGCGGCGCCTGTCGTAGGACGGGCTGCGAGACCTGCGTCTGTCGCGGCTGCGTGAGCGTCTGCGCCGATCGTAGTCATCGTATCGCGAGTGGCTGCGTGGCGACTGCCGCTCTTTGGTCTTCATCTGGCCCGGCGCTGACAAACACAAGAGAGCTCGGTCACACTTAGGCCTGGGAAAATAAATCCATGCATCGCGAATCGAGGAATGATTCTGGAGGTTTTCCCAATGCATGCCGATTCTTTCTGGAGTCGATTCTGAGCTAGGTTGTGAATAGTCTCAGCCTCAGACGTCACGTCCACACACCGTTGGCTGAGCGTCTGATGCATATTAGAGGCTGACATTTCTTCAGGAATCCCGCGGGATGGGAATCAAAATCACTATTAATCACATGATTGGGACGGGACAGGAACACATGTCAGCGGGAGCGGGCGGGACCGGAATCGTAATAACACTGATACCCAACTTTATACACAAATATACCTTTATATAAATAAACTCTATGTTTTAATTTTGAACTCAATTCCATTTTAGTTGAATAAAAATCCAATAAGTAGATTTTTGTTATTTTATTGAACGGAAAGCCAGCTTAAACAATGCAGTGTACATTGCACACATTAAATTTCATGTAAATCATCCACGCTAACACATTTTCTATTAGATTTTTTTTTTCATTTGAAAGTAGAGTTTATAGTTTATTCATATAAAGGTATATTTGTGTATAAAGTTGGGTATCAGTGTTATTACGATTCCCGGTCCCGCCCGCTCCCGCTGACATGTTTTCCTGTCCCGTCCCAATCACGTGATTAATAGTGATTTTGATTCCCATCCCGCGGGATTACCAAAAAAAGTCAGCCTCTAGTTTACATTAATCTGGCCTCATAAAAGCATTCTGAGCCCAGGAGAAATTACAGACTCAGCTGAACGCACAAGCGCTCTTCAGCTCTTCTTCATGAGTGTTTGAGTGTGTGGATAAAAACTAAAGTAGAGCGCCATCTGCTGTTACAGTATAAGCTCAGAATCCATTCCAGAGAGAACCGCCATGCATTCAGAAGATCGATCCACTAATCGATTCTGCATTGATATCTCGTCGCTCCCAGACACACAGTGTCCTCTCAGACCGGGTCAGCACTCACTCTTGCGGTCTCCCTGAGCGAACTGGATCTCGATCTGCCGTCCACAGACCCACTTCCGGTCCAGATTGAGCAGAGCGTCCTCCGCGTCCCGGACATCCTCGAACGTGCTGCGCTGTTAAGGGCTCCAACCGAACATGTTCATCTCACACACACACACACACACACACACACACACACAGAGTGTGAGTGTGCGTGTGCGTGTGCGTGTGCATCAATAAAAGCAGCGCATTAATATAGAACGGTGATTAAACCGACTTGGAACTACCTGTGCATTAAACGGTTTTACTGCATACCTGCCAGCCAATCAGAATCCAGTATTCAGGTAGATCATGGTATAAATAATAATAATAAAGAGTTAGTTGAGTTCCAGATCAATCAGCTATGATCCCGGGTGAGAATCTACCTGTCGTGTTCTCGGCTGCGTCTGCGGTGTGTTCCTCCTCTGGACCTGCTGGGAGAAGCACAAGGTCAGTGTCCTGATCCACAGCAGTGAAGATGCTGAGACGCTCACTCGCTCACTCTCTAGGGCTCTGGGATCGTCTGCGGCGCCTGTCGTAGGACGGGCTGCGAGACCTGCGTCTGTCGCGGCTGCGTGAGCGTCTGCGCCGATCGTAGTCATCGTATCGCGAGTGGCTGCGTGGCGACTGCCGCTCTTTGGTCTTCATCTGCCCCGGCGCTGACAAACACAAGAGAGCTCGGTCACACTTAGGCCTGGGAAAATAAATCCATGCATCGCGAATCGAGGAATGATTCTGGAGGTTTTCCCAATGCATGCCGATTCTTTCTGGAGTCGATTCTGAGCTAGGTTGTGAATAGTCTCAGCCTCAGACGTCACGTCCACACACCGTTGGCTGAGCGTCTGATGCATATTAGAGGCTGACATTTCTTCAGGAATCCCGCGGGATGGGAATCAAAATCACTATTAATCACATGATTGGGACGGGACAGGAACACATGTCAGCGGGAGCGGGCGGGACCGGAATCGTAATAACACTGATACCCAACTTTATACACAAATATACCTTTATATAAATAAACTCTATGTTTTAATTTTGAACTCAATTCCATTTTAGTTGAATAAAAATCCAATAAGTAGATTTTTGTTATTTTATTGAACGGAAAGCCAGCTTAAACAATGCAGTGTACATTGCACACATTAAATTTCATGTAAATCATCCACGCTAACACATTTTCTATTAGATTTTTTTTTTCATTTGAAAGTAGAGTTTATAGTTTATTCATATAAAGGTATATTTGTGTATAAAGTTGGGTATCAGTGTTATTACGATTCCCGGTCCCGCCCGCTCCCGCTGACATGTTTTCCTGTCCCGTCCCAATCACGTGATTAATAGTGATTTTGATTCCCATCCCGCGGGATTACCAAAAAAAGTCAGCCTCTAGTTTACATTAATCTGGCCTCATAAAAGCATTCTGAGCCCAGGAGAAATTACAGACTCAGCTGAACGCACAAGCGCTCTTCAGCTCTTCTTCATGAGTGTTTGAGTGTGTGGATAAAAACTAAAGTAGAGCGCCATCTGCTGTTACAGTATAAGCTCAGAATCCATTCCAGAGAGAACCGCCATGCATTCAGAAGATCGATCCACTAATCGATTCTGCATTGATATCTCGTCGCTCCCAGACACACAGTGTCCTCTCAGACCGGGTCAGCACTCACTCTTGCGGTCTCCCTGAGCGAACTGGATCTCGATCTGCCGTCCACAGACCCACTTCCGGTCCAGATTGAGCAGAGCGTCCTCCGCGTCCCGGACATCCTCGAACGTGCTGCGCTGTTAAGGGCTCCAACCGAACATGTTCATCTCACACACACACACACACAGACAGACAGAGACACACAGACAGACAGAGACACACACACAGACAGAGACACACACACAGACAGACACCAATAGGGCTGGGTAAAAAAATACTGATCTCGCGATTTCAATCGATTCTCATTTTTACGAAACGATATTGATTCTTAAATCCCAAGAATCGATTAGTCTGGCCTGTTTTCAGTTACGTTATTCATGTTTTTGTCTCGCCTTAATGGACGGAACATTGAAGGGCACCTAAGCTTTGTGCTTTGGTACTTTTAATATGAAACAGTCTCCGATTTCAAATTCTGTCTGTTGTATTGCAGTATTCAAACAATAAATGCAGTTTTGGCGCTGTTTAATGTGGAGTGATCGCTGTAGCGCCTCAGTGAACTGATCATCTCCTCCGCTTTATTACTAGTTATAGCACAAAATAAACTTGACTAAACATCCGAAGGTAAGTTAAAAGAAAGTACAACTTTACAATCCGTATCCCGTCTCGTGTAATCTCTCAATCAGTGTTTCAGCCGCGCAAAGACTTCAATATAACGCCTTGTAAACAATGCCACGTAACGTCACATTTACCTCAGAAAAACATATTCGTGACCATAAACTCAAGTCAGATAGAAAAATAAACTGTAGAGAGAGGCATTCTACGTAATATATGCACCATATAACATATTCATTATAAATATTACTGTTCTTCAATGTTTAATTTATGTTTGAATAAATTCGTGAAGTTTTTATGACAGATACCATTTAAACGTTTATATTTTTAAAAAATTAAACAAAGTAAAAATATTATGATGTAACATTATTATTATAAAAACGTAATTGAGTGTAATTTAAGCAGTTGTTTCCCCTGGGGGGGGACTAACGGAACATTTCCTGACGTTTTTTCTGGACTCCTTTTTAACGGTTAAATTACATTTTATTAATCGAAAAGCATGTCTAATTAATTACAATCATGAAACTTAAAAGTTAAAAACAAAAACTACATGTTTAGGGCCCTATGAAATGTTTTATTTTTTACTCACAGTATTTTTTATTGTTACCAAATTCTCTGTTTGTGCATGTCTAATCATTTGAATGCATAAAAACAACTTCATTTAAATTTATTCTTAAAATAGCCTTATGAAATGTTTTTTTCCCCTCAGAAATTCTGTTGTGTATTTACATTTTTCTGGTTATCAAATGAAGGCGTAATACATTAATTTAATTTATCTTTGAATTATTGAAAATTAAAACTATTTTTTTGGCAAACAAATGGGATTTACTATTAACAATAAAACATGTTAGAAATGTTGTGTGATTATTCCTTAAAAAGTTAATAAGTTTAGTAGTAGTATTAATAGTATTAGCAGTATTATGCACATTCTACTGAACAATATCTCCGTCACAGTGTCCTCAAGTTAAACCAAACTTTTATTTTGACGGGTTGCTGTGAATACTTTTACATTTCTGTGTGATACGAGGCTAGTTTTACTCAAATGGAACGGTAAAATACTCATGAAGTGACTGTCAGAGCAGTTCTGGAGATGTTCGTGTATTTATGTCCTTATTTAGCGAGACGACAGTCGCTAATATCTCCGCGAGCGTCACACGCTTCAGAGTGTGTGTAGTAAACAAAACCACGCGTCTGCGCTCTTCATTAACAAACACGCAGAACTCATGTTTAGTCTTTTTGTGGCTTAATATTTACAGATACTAGTCCACATTCAAGTGTAATCATATACTTTTGATTAATTAATTTAAAGTTTGACAAATTCCGTGACATTCCACGTTATACAGAACATTGTTTTTAAGACTGAATTCCGCGATTCCATCCGTGCGCATGTGTGCGTGCGTGAGTGTCTGTGTGCGTGAGTGTCTGTGTGCGTGAGAGAGAGAGTTTGTGCGTGTGTGTGATACAGAGAGCAGAGGACAACTGTGTGTCTATGTGTGTGTGTGTGTGTGAGTGTCTTGTGTGTGTGAGTGTCTGTGTGCGTGAGAGAGAGAGTTTGTGCTTGTTTGTGTGTGTGTGTGATACAGAGAGCAGAGGACAACTGTGTGTCTATGTCTATGTGTGTGTGTGAGTGTCTTGTGTGTGTGAGTGTCTGTGTGCGTGAGAGAGAGAGTTTGTGCTTGTTTGTGTGTGTGTGTCTGTTTATGAGTGTGTGTGTGATACAGAGAGCAGAGGAGAACTGTGTGTCTATGTGTGTGTGTTTGTGTGTCTGTGAGTGCGCAGATGAAACGCAGGCGAAACGCAGAGGAGATGCAGAGGAGACGCAGGCGAGACGCAGATGAAACGCAGGCGAAACGCAGGCGAAACACAGATGAAACGCAGAGGAGACGCAGATGAAACGCAGAGGAGACGCAGGCTAAACAGTTGAAACGCAGGCGAAACGCAGATGAAACGCAGAGGAGACGCAGAGGAGACGCAGGCTAAACAGTTGAAACGCAGGCAAAACGCAGAGGAGACGCAGATGAAACGCAGGCGATTCTACTAAACTGTAGAATCGTACACATTTACAGAGAAATGAAACTGAAACTAACCTTTACTGACTGATTTGCTGCATTCATTGTCTGCTGCTCTTCTGGACATTAATTTCTGCTCATCTTAACGATGTCTGAGATTGCTTTAAAGCCTCGGTTAAACAGCAGTCTCGGTATTTCTGATCATATAGTGCTGCAGCATTGATCAGCTACTCTAACAGCACACTAACACGCGCTCACATCGCTGTCTCTGAGCAATATAGCGCTGCTTTCTGAACCGCAACGCGCGTGTAATAACTCACAGCACAGATATTAAACATCCTCACAGCGCACGAACAGTGATAAACAGCTCAATATAAAGCTGATGAATCTTTGCATGGCACAGAAGAGCAGAAATGTGGCATTAAGGAATATATACAGACTTCTTCACAAGACTCAGAGGTGGCATTAATGCATCTCATAATAACAATGTTATGAGATTACTGTTTTAAATATAAAGTTTTGAATATAGAAATTTAAATGATTTAAATAACTCCATATACTTTAAAAATGAAACAGAAACCGCCAGTAGGTGGCGGCAAGTCACTGTTTTTGTCACTGATTCATTCATTCAGTCGATTCATTCAAACAGCTGATTCATTTAGGAACGAAGCAAGTGACTCTTTTTGTGAATGGGTCATTGAATCATTGACTCACTAGATTTGTTCAAAAGCAAAGATTCATTCATAAACGAAACAGTGCTGTGTCAGAGACTTAAGATGCGCAGCGGCTCAGCTGGGACTTTGCTTTGTTGATGAAATAGAGCAAAATAGACAACAGTGTTCCTAAAATGTAAGTCACTTAATATTAACTTTTGTATAAAACTGTAGTATAAATTAGTGCTGTCAAACAGTTTTTGTTTACATAGTATATGTGTGTGTGCTGTGTATATTTATTATGTATATATAAATACACACACATACAGCATATATTTTGAAAATATTTACATGTATATATTTATATTAATATAATTTATCATAAATATATTTTATAAATAAACATAAAATTTTTCTTAAATATATACTGTATGTGTGTGTATTTATAT